GGATGAAACCATATGAAATTTGGATTTAAGTGATTGACTCTTGAACTAATCTTCGAAAATGTCAGCCTCTAGAGAAAATTGTATTTATCATTTTTATAATCTTTGGCATGTTTGTTTTTCCTAAGTTAAGTATTGCTTTCCTGTTTTCAAATCTGAACTGTAAAAATATTAATATAATTGGGTGGAACAAGTCAGAAACAAAAGGTGGAACAAATGTAAAGAGGTGAGCATTGCATTTAGCTTGACTGATTTTTTAACTGAAACAAGAGAAAATGGAACAAAAATCAATGTCTCTGTGTGGCAGCTTACATAGCAGCAGACAAATTATCTCCTACCCTTACAAGATCATGCTCTTAATGTATTGTGTTTCAGGGGTCTGACAGAGTTATACTTTGCTTTTTACCTTTTGGGAATTATAAGACAACCAGCAACTCCAGCAGTCTCATGCTCGGTATTCTTCTTTGGCGTATGGACCAGACATAGTGCTCCCACTTAAATAAAAAAACCCAACAAACCACCAACCAACCAACCAATCAACCAACCAACTCCCCGCCTGCAAACTCAGAAGAAGAGCATCAGATCAGTGCTTTTGCAGCATCTGAGTAATTATATTGTTTTCCCAGATTGAGAAAGCAAGCCATCGGTTTACTATCTAAAGAAGATAAAAATGTGCAGGGTCTCCTAAGCTTAAAACTCCTTTATGTGTACCGTGCCTTTCTTGGGTACCTTTGTATGGTTGAAGACACTGGAGGACATTTCTGTTGACTTCACTAATCACTGGATAAAAGTCTCCTGAAAGCTTTTCTTCTACACTTTTTAAAAATCGAAATCCGATGTTTCAAAGAATTTGACTGGAGCGCAGCCTTAGCAGGAACATCTCAAGAAGGAGCCTGACCATCCACTGCCTGTGTTTCTCTTAGGTCATGGCAAAAGCAGGGTTAATGCAGCTTAGCTTGCACGGAAGAGGGTTGTAGTGACTCAGGTTATGCATGATTGCTTATTGAGCTGTGATAACTTGATTAGGAGTCCAAGTACCAAGCTTTTGCTATGAAATTCACCTTTTCACAGGGCTCACTCCCAAATAATATCACTTGCAGAGAGAATTAAGTATGGACCCAAACCTGATTTTTTTAACAACTTGAATATTTGCATTAACAAACCTGCTTCATAGTTTGGGTCTATATAGTTCAGGTTTTTAGATAGTATCTGAACCTTATGTTCTGGAGTCAGGCTGAAAGAAAAAGACCGCAGGCATCTCCAAA